ATTTGCCAAGAAAATGGTGTGATAAATATGTCCAAATAAAGATAACAATAAGATAAATATAGAAAAATAGATAATACGAGAAAGAAAAAGAAAAAGAAGAAAATAGAAAGAAATAGAAGGGAGTAGAATATTATCGAACTAATTACGTAGTCTAATTATCATTATGACTAATTTTTATCATGCTGCTTCTTTTGTTCACGTGTTCTTTTGAAATTATGGTCAATATTGAATCAGTGACAATATTAAATAAACTTGTTATATAAACTTAAATTATAATATTTTTTAACTAATTTTTTGATAAATAATATTTAAAAATTAGTAAATATTTGTATTTAATAAAATATATAAACTTCTTTATTAAAAAGTAAATACAAAATTTAATCTATAAATATATTTAAAGAAACCTATTTTAGTATATTCACAAATTAAATTTTGTATTTACTTTTTAATAAAAAGTTTATATATTTTATAAAATATAAATAAATAATAAATTTAAAATATATATTATATTATAAAGAAATAATATTTTTATATTAGATAACTATAAAAATATTTGAATTTTTTTATTACAAGCTTATTATAAAAATTAGTTAAAAAAAAGTTTGTTATAATAATTATTAAATTTTTATATATAATATAAATTTTATTTTTTATTAATTATTATATTTAAAATTTTAAAATTTTATAATAAAGTTTAATTTAATTTTATTTATATTTTTTAATAATATTTAAATAAAAATAAAAATTATTTGAATAATTTAAACTATAACAAATATTTTTAGATAATTTTTATATAAATATTAATATTATAATTATTTTATTTTAATTTTATTTAATTGATTTTTTATTTTAAATTATATTATATTATAAACTAAATAATATTATAATAAAGTTAATAATTTTTATTAATAAAAATTTATGAAAAATACTTTTTTTCACTATTTTATTTATTTATATAGATTTTAACTTGCTTTATAATTATAATAAAAAATTTTATTTTTTATATAAATTATAAAAATTCTTAAATAATTACAATTTTTAATTTAAAGAGGATAAAGTAATAAAATAATAATTATTAGTATAAAAATCTAAATTGAGAATTTTTTACTATTATTATTATATTGAAAACTATTAAAAAAACTCAATTATCATTATTTTTTTATTTTTTCTTTATTTTTTTATTTTTCATTTTTTTATATTTATTTTTAGCTTTTTTTATTTATTTTTAACTTTTTTTCATTTATTTATTTCTTTTCTAACTCATATATAATTTATTTCTGGATAATTATTTTCTTTTTTCTTTTTATATTTTTAATTTTAAATTTAGTTAATTTTTTTATCTCTTCTAATTTTTATAAAAAAAGTGTTATAAATAAAAAGTCAGATAAAAAATAATATTTTTCTTTTTTTATAGACTAAAACTGAAACTTAATAATCTTATTAGTTTCTAATTTATTGACTTATAATAAAATTGAGATATAAAATATTTAAGTATTATTTTTAGTGAACAAATATCTAAATTTTTAAAAGTTTTTAGCTTTTCACTTATAAACATATATTTTTTTTAATTGATTCATTTTTTTAACAATCTGATCTCCTTCTCAAAAAATATAAAATCTATTCTCAATAATTTTACTTTTGTAATAATATTAATTCTAGTAAAATATTTGTAAGTTAATTAAGAAAAGGAAATAATATCTAAAATTAATGATTTTTCAGTTGATTAAATAAACTGAGATAAAAATAAGAAATCAAATTATTTTATTATTAATAAAGAATTAAGATAATTAGAACTAATAGCATCAAAATTAAAAGATTAAATTTCTATAACTTTGTAAATATTAGTAATTATCTTAAAATATAAATTGTGATAAATATTAATTCAAAAATCTTGATGAATATATACTTTAAAGATAATCTTCTAAATTATTTTTGAAAAAAATGATATTTTGACAAATAATTTGATTTTGCTATATTGCTTATATTAATAAATACTTAAAAATTATCTAGAAATACTTGTTTTAATTTGTAGATAAAGATAATGCAGCAACTATTATAATATAATGACAAATAAAGTATCATCTAGTTGCAACTAGTTGTGGTTTATAAAATTTTAAAGTTGCAATATGTTGTAACAGGTAATAAATAAGCATCACATACTTGCTGTGCTATCTCTATTTGTAGAATTCAAATAATTTCAGAAAATAATTTCAGTTACTAATAAAATAATTTTAAATTTAATTTTAATAAGTAAATTTTGACAAATTATTTAATTAGATAACATTATTTTAGCAACTATTCTTAATATACTTGATCATTATTTTTTCTTTACTATTATATAATCTCTCATAATTATTATTATATTTTCTTTTAAGCTTGATAAAAAGAATTTCTGATAATTAAAGGATGTATAATCAAATTTTTTTATAGTCACCATTCTTGAAAAAGCAAAATTTAATAATAATAAAGAGAATATAACTATAGAGAGATTTTTTTATTATATTTATATATAAATAGAAAAGCAAAATAGAGTAACTATAGACTATAAATAGACATGATTATAAAGTGATTTGACTGTATGTAATATATGAAAAAAGTACATAAAATAGAATTTCATTTTCTTAATAAAATTTAATACTTATATAATTTATATAATTTTTATAATTATTAAGTATTAGCAAAATTGGATAAACAAATAAAATTGATTTAATAAAGTATTCAATATATATTTAAATATCTTTTATTATAAAAATCTTGAAGATAATAACAAAGCCAATCTCATTCATATTTCAAATACAATTTGTAGTAAGTGAATGTTTCTCAATAATTTTTTTTAGTTTTTCAAAATGATTATTTATAATTATCAAATTTGCTTTTTAAACATGTACTTCTAATAAACTTGAGATATTCAAAAAGATAAGTCTGAATAATTCTTCATAAAATGATTCTATCAAATTTTATCAGATTTTTTTATGAAAGAATAATTATAATAATCATTGCATACTATTTTCATTATATAATAATTTATATCTGATTTTGTCAAGTCAAATCTCAATTTTTGCATATTTTTATAATAATCCATGAGTTATTCTTTTTTATATTTGCTCAAGATTATTTTATGACAAAAATATTTGAGCAAATCATTTTTAATGATATATCTGAAAATTATCTCAGCAATTTCAAATTTCATAGTAATTGAATTTACACTTGTATGTATAGAACTGGTAAATTCTTTAAAAGCAGTTTCAATTATATTATAACAATCTTTTGACTAAGTCTTTTTATTTTCTGATTGAACTTTTTTTATTAATTTTAGTTCTATTTTTTTTGTTTCAGATTTTGTCTTAGTTTCAGTCTCAATTTTATTTTTAGCTTTGGTTCCTATTTCAGCTTCAGTTTTCATTTCAGCTTCAGTTTTTATATCAGTTTTTGCTTCGAATTCAGTTTTCTTTGATTTGATCTTTGAGATTAATTTTTTTATGCATTTGGTTTATTGATTTAATTTTATTATCTATTTTAACTAACATTTTTTTAATAGCTATCATATTATTAGAATCAAAAATTCAGAGCGATATTTATTTTTTAATTTTTTTAACCTATTTTTGATATAATTATAATGCAAAATTTTAATAACTGAATTTGATAATAAATAAACATTCTTTGATACTTTAATTATACTATGTAATCTTTGCGAAATATGAATTGCTTCCAGTATCAACAAATACCAGCAATTATGAAACTTGAATTAAGTGGAGATTATTAAAACTAGTGAAAAGCAAAGCAAGCGAATAATTAGAACTACTTGCAGTAAATTAACCTGACGATCAATGATTTGCATGACATTATCCATTCCCACCATCGTGAACTCATACGAACTTCTGTAAATTTGAAGTTATGCCAGAAACCACAAAATGAAGACCTTCCCTTAGATAACTATCGGACGGTCAGTAAGGGTCTCGAGTAACGTTATCTTCACGTGTGAAATGAACGATCCAAGTCTCATATGAGTTTAATAACTTGGCGTAATCAAGTGCCCTTACAAAGAGTTTATCGAGTTCTTTCCGTGTGACTGTGGCAAAAAGCTCGAGAATAATCGTTTGATATGCGGATGTGATAACTATATTGCTATACTTGTGATTAATACATTGATCAGCGTCATATATAAGATGTCACTGTCCATTAACCTCAAAGGTACATGACCGTTCACACTTACAAGTGCATTTTGAATGACCGACGGAACGCCCCAGAAATGAAGTAACGAACAGCTTCCATCAAGGTGTCTAAAGTTTCCAGAGCACCATTGGATTTTTGTGTGACTGCAATATGCGTGACGGACTGATATATTTCTGGAATAACTTGTCGCTGAATCAGCTCATCAACAAAAGCAGAGGACATTTTAAACTTTTTTTCATTCTCATCGTCCCTCATTAGCACCCCCTTAGCTGTCAGAACCTCTGCCAGTTTTCTTTCGTAGGAGTCATTAATCAACACAAAATCGAGAAATCCTAGGAACATAAACCTAAGATGTTCCACAGCAGGCTTGCCTATATCGTTGTGATAATCTTTCTAAAGGTGGGGGTAATCAAGTATCTTATCTTGCAACAAATTGGTAGTGAAGGTTATCCAAGTAGAGAGGTTGAGCTTCCTGTCTTTGCCAACTTTCTCAAGCAAATCTGAATAAATAGAATAACAGAACCATGAAAAAATTATGACTTACACGACTCCGGTGCAACCAGCTTCATATACATACCCGTTGTACAGTGGCGCTCAAAAGTAATGCATCACTTGAAAGATAAATTTTGCGACGCAATAACTTCTCGTACACAACGTTAA